TATATAGAATTTATACCTTGACCATACATTTGGTAATTTATCCTTAGAAAATATAGGATTTCAAATAAAAAGGAAACCATGAACTTTAGGTATTACAATAACTGATTTAATTACCTTACTATTTTAAAAACTTCCTAAATAAATTGACGTTTCATTATGAGCCTTATATATTCGGAGCCTAAATTGTGTAAAGACAACATTTTAAAAATTACTTACATTGTGTGACTAGAAAACTCAAAGATTTCAATACTTCTGTTAAACATTCTTAACCTTTCTTCTATCACTACTCAATGAGAATTCATAAAACATCACTAACTACTATACAATGCATATCAACCTGAAGTATAAACGTAAAATGAGATCTATTCAACTCCACATACGCTCTATTTTCATGTTTTAAAATATCTATTAGAACTTTTTCATGCTTCTTGTTAAATAATAATACTGATCGTACATTTCATATTTTACAAGTTATTCTTGTATGTAATTCCACTCATATAGTGGTATAACACATGTATGTATATCGCAACTCACGTGCAATTGAGTTTCTCCTCATATAATTTGGTCAAGCCCTTTTCTTAACCTATTTAGCGGACAAAGTCATCCGTACTATGACAACTTATTGTATCTTTATTATCATTGTGCTTGTATGAAATAAGTATGCTTGAACATTGCTTACCGCCTACGTATATATTCATTCTGCTAGCTTTATTATTAACTACTTAATTGATTCGATGATCCATTCATTTCCCTATATATATATATATATATATATATATATATATATATATATATATATATATTACTTACTTACTTACTTACGCCTGTTACTCCTCGTGAAGGAGCATAGGCCGCTCACCAGCGTTCTCCATCCAACCCTGTCCTGGGCAATCCTTTCTAGCTCCGTCCAGTTGTAATTCATCCTTTTCATATCTGCTTCTATAATCCGACGCAATGTGTTCTTTGGCCTTCCTCTTTTTCGCTTCCCTTCAGGGTTCCAAGTTAGGGCTTGCCTCGTGATGCAGTTTGACGACTTGCGTAATGTATGTCCTATCCATTTCCATCGTCTTTTCCTAATTTCCTCTTCATCTGGAAGTTGGTTTGTTCTCTCCCACAGAAGACTATTGCTGATGGTATCCGGCCAATGGATGTTGAGTATCTTGCGTAGACAGCTATTTATAAATACTTGTACTTTCTTGATGGTGGTTGTTGTAGTTCTCCAAGTTTCAGCTCCATACAGTAGAACTGCCTTGACGTTCGTATTGAAGATTCTCACTTTGATATTCGTTGAAAGTTGTTTTGAGTTCCATATGTTCTTCAATTGTAGGAATGCGACCCTTGCTTTACCGATCCTCGCCTTTACGTCTGCATCTGAGCCTCCTTGTTCATCGATGATGCTTCCCAGGTATGTGAAGGATTCTACATCTTCCAGAGTTTCGCCATCAAGGGTGATTGGATTGCTGTTCTCCGCTTTGAATTTGAGGACCTTAGTTTTCCCTTTGTGTATGCTGAGGCCTACTGATGCAGAGACTGCTGCTACACTGGCTGTCTTCATCTGCATCTGTTCGTGTGTACGTGATAGGAGGGCTAGGTCATCTGCGAAGTCCAAATCGTCTAATTGATTCTGAGCTGTCCATTGTATTCCATGTTTTCCTTCAGATGTTGAGGTCTTCATAATCCAGTCGACCACCAGGAGAAAAAGGAAGGGAGAGAGTAAACAGCCTTGTCTGACTCCGGTCCTTACTTGGAATGCATCTGTCAGCTGTCCTCCATGCACTACTTTGCACTGTAGTCCGTCATATGAGTTCCGGATTATATTGACAATCTTCTCAGGAATTCCGTAGTGTCGAAGAAGTTTCCATAACGTCCTCCTGTCTACACTGTCGAATGCCTTTTCATAATCAATGAAGTTGATGTATAATGATGAGTTCCACTCAACTGATTGTTCGATGATGATCCGTAGTGTCGCAATTCGGTCTGTGCACGACCGATCCTTACGGAATCTAGCTTGTTGATCTCGAAGTTGGGTGTCTACTGCATCCTTCATCCGGTTCAGCAACACTCTGTTGAAGACTTTCCCTGGTATTGACAGTAGTGTTATGCCTCTGTAGTTTTCACATTTGCTCAGATCTCCTTTCTTTGGAATCTTGACGAGGTGTCCTTCTTTCCAGTCCATCGGCACTTGTTCCTCCTCCCAAATCTTTTTGAATAGAAGATAAAGCATGCTTGTGGTTGTTTCGATGTCTGATTTCAGTGCTTCAGCTGGTATGTTGTCGGGTCCTGCTGCTTTCCCGTTCTTGATATGTCTGACGGCCATTCTAATTTCTTCCGTAGTTGGTGGATTGACATCTATAGGAAGATCTATGTGTGCTGCTTCGATGTCCGGTGGATTCATTGGAGCCGGCCTATTCAGGAGTTCCTCGAAGTATTCTACCCATCTGTTACGTTGTTGTTGAATTTCGGTGATTGGCTTGCCTTCTTTGTCTTTGACCGGCCTCTCTGGTTTACTGTATTTCCCTGATAGTTTCTTCGTTGTATCGTAAAGCTGTTTCATGTTTCCTTCTCTAGCAGCTTTTTCTGCCGTCGTTGCTAGTTCTTCAACGTATTTCTTCTTGTCGGCTCTAATGCTCCTCTTCACTTGTTTGTTTGCTTCTATGTATTCAGCTTGTGCTTGGACTTTCTCTGCTCGTGTTCGGCTGTTGTTTATTGCTGCCTTCTTGTTCTTCCTTTCTTTGATCTTGTCCACTGTTTCTGTAGAGATCCATTCCTTATGATGGTATTTCTTTAGACCGAGAACCTCTTGACACGTTGAAGTTAATGCTTCCTTGATGCCTTTCCAGTTGTCCTCCATAGTAGTTTCTTCTTCTTTCAGTAGATCTCGTAAGGCTTGGAACCTGTTGTTGAGAGCTATCTTGAATTCATTGAGTTTGACAGTATCTCGAAGGAAGGCTGTATTGAACCTTTGTATTGCTGTTTGTCCACTTGTCCAGTTCTTTTTTAGCTTCAGTTTCAAATTGGCTACAACTAGGTGGTGATCTGAAGCTATGTCAGCTCCTCTCCTGGTTCCGACATCTTCCATTGTCCTTCGGAATTTTTTGTTGATGCAAATATGATCTATTTGGTTCTCTGTAGTGTGGTCCGGTGAGATCCATGTCGCCTTGTGTATACGCTTGTGTGGAAATATTGTGCCTCCTATGACCAATTTGTTGAATGCGCATAGATTTGCAAATCTTTCTCCATTTTCGTTTCTTTCTCCCAGTCCATGTCGTCCCATAATATCTTCATATCCGGTGTTGTCTATTCCGACTTTGGCGTTTAGATCTCTTATCAGAATGGTGAAGTGCTTTCTTGGGCACTTGTCTATGATTGACTGCAGCCGCTCGTAGAATTGATTTTTAATGTCGTCGTTGCTATCATTGGTGGGTGCATAACATTGGATAATGTTCGTTGTGATCCCTTCCTTCTTTGTTTTGAATGATGCTTTGATGATTCTGGATCCGTGAGATTCCCAACCTACAAGTGCATTTCGTGCTACTTTGGACAGCATAAGAGCGACTCCCTGAGTGTGTGGGGCATTGTCCTCTTCGTGACCGGAGTATAGCAGCATCTCTCCCGTAGCTAGCCTTTTCTGTCCAGCTTGGGTCCAGTGGGTTTCGCTGATTCCCAGTACTGCTAAGTTGTATCTCCTCATTTCCATTGATATTTGACTGGTCTTCCCGGTTTCCCACATTGTTCGAACGTTCCATCTACCTATAAAAATTTTTGCTCTGGTTGTTAGAAGGGGCATCGGCCTCGTGGCTTCCGAAGGAACTCGGCTTTCACCATGAAGCGTCATAATTCTTCTAAATGAAGACCTTCTAACTCCCAGTGCAGAGTTAAAATGGTTTGGATTATTTTTTCTGGTAAGCGTTTTTTTAGCGAGTTAGTTTTCTACGGGATGGGGACGCTAACCCCATGCCTAACCCTCCTCCTTTACCCGGGCTTGGGACCGGCAGCAACCCTATAAGAGCTACAGGCGGAGTTATATATATATATATATATATATATATGTACATTTAACACTACACTCTCGGTTCGCTGACTCATTCATTTGCCTCTCGGCCTTGTGGTCTGAGTTATCTACTAATAAAACTGTAGTCGCTGCTTCTCTTTGCCTTCTGATTTCAAACACCATTGAGGATTATATGGTAACGGTTATGAGGGTGATTGGTCAAAGAAGCACAGCCACTACATGTACTTAATTGTGCTACTTCAATCGACTCTCTACAAATGTAACATTTATGATATTATACACGTAATTTAACCACAGAATAAATAAAAATTTTAAAAAAATGAAAGGAAATCCAATCAAAAAAAGTGAATTACTATCGTTTATAAAATAACTAGATTAACAGTAGGGTAAAAGCAGGTTAGTGCTAGTTTTAAATTAACCTAAAAATTTAAACAAAAGTTTCAGTGAAGAATTACTCATTACCATTAACACTGGTTTGTTTCACACCTTGTAAAGGTATAAACAAAGTAAATTGTGTCTTTAACAGACTATATACTGGAATTCAAACTTAAAACGTATTTTTTTCGAGTAATAAACTACTTATATGCTGTGAATCACTTGCTGGAGATTAATTTTAACAAAACAAACAGAGGAAATTACAACTTACCAACTTATCTCAATACAAAATCTCATACAAATATGTATCTATTTTTTCCTCATTCACACAATTTTATTTCCGTTTCACTATAGTAAAACAGATAATTTCTAATCAATATAAATCCCCTTCGTGAATTCATGAATATAATTTCCTTACAATTATTAATTGATTTATTAGAATAATCGTATCATAATTATACTCACTATAAACTCTCTACTAACTATTCATTTAGTAGTAAATAAAAATGTCGTGTTTTATAAATAGACCTGAAAGCGATGTAGAAAACGATGAATGAAATGATGAACATCAAAATGAATGATACACTTTTTAAAAAAAAAGTTTTTAATTTACCTCTTTTCCAATGTTTTCAATGTATCTACAATGTTTACATTTTGTTGCATAAATGATGAAAGTTCAGCAAATTGACGTTTTAATTCACTGAATTTATCTCGTAATTCTACTTTAACTAAATTATCAACAATTATTTGATTTGAGCATAAAATCTGTATTATAAAAAATATAAACAAAATATAATAACATAAATTCTATTTATTCACAGAGAAAATGGAATCTTTACAGTCTGTGTAGAAAATGCAACATATTTATATTGACGTTCTGTTTAATTCCCTGATTAATGAATGTCTACTTACAGTTGTATTTTGCTAAAAATAATCATTTAACAGACTGTAGATCACCAACATAGATGATCTATATCGAATGTGTGGAGGCCTACTTCAGTTAGACGGGAATGGTATGACGAACCAGCTAACTTCGAAGTCATACATCGTGGTCAGCATCTAACACGGATTACCCCTTGAACGTATCAAAGTACTATGGCTATTTTGAAAACGGCATAACATAAAGGACGTTATTACGGACATATATTAGTAAGAATGAGTAAAGAGAAGGTAGCGAGACCACCACCATATGCGCCAGTTCATTTCATATGGTTGATTGGCGCGCGTTGGTTGTCCTTGACCTTGATGAGGATCGATGATCTGTTCGATATTCAGTGATTTAACTACCAAATGATTTGACTAAGGCTCAGTAACATTTCACTGGCCTTACAAGACATTTTTTCTACTATCAAAATGATTTTAAATTTTAAAAACATTGAAGCTGGTAACCCAACATAAAATATTTTTTTATCGTCATCCTAGAAAATATCACAATCGATCAATCAATAAATAAATAATATAATGATATTTGTTTCTGAATTTCAATGAATAACTTCTTATCCCTGATTTTAATGATTTCACCTCTTATGAAGATTATAGATAATGTTGATTGTGCTATATTTCATAGTAAGACAAATGAAAGGTATTTCTTCTATCAAATGTATGACACCATTAACTATAATTTTTCCCTGTAATAAATTAGTATTCTTTTAATAAAGTGTATTTAGTTGAAAATCAATTTTGACTAGAGTAAGTACATAATTACAAAACACTGAAGAACAAACTATTAATTATTTCTAACATAATAAGGATACCAAATAGTCACCAACTGTTACATTCGTATTTTAACTACAAAAACTTATTTTGTTTTCCTTGTTATGCATGAATTCTCATTCTTATTTTATTGTTCTCTGTTAGTTACACTATTTGGATGTGTTTATATTAATATTTATATTCATCACATATCGATATAATTGAAGATGGCTGATAAAAAGGCTGATAGTGTATGTATGTGAACAGTAAGAAAAAAATGAATTTCCTCCTTTTCGTGTATGAAATAAAAGTAAACGATGAAAGTGCATCAACTCTAAGTCTGAGTATTTGTTTATCATTGGCTAATGTATTGATATAAGTTCTAAATTTCAATGAACAAGAAAAAGGATGATTTCAATATTATAAGCTACTAATGTATGTAAATAAACTAATTGCTATTCATGTTACTGAGGAAGCAACGTCAAACTCTCACTAACATAAGATGGTAAACTATCAAATTAGTTAGTGGCTTCTTAAGAGATATTAATTTTCCCTTAATTACGAACGAATAAGTTATTATGTACAGTTATCGATCTTAGATTTACACGGGGAATAATACACACCACTTCATCGTTTTCTACTCAGGATTTAGAAAAATATTTCCATGTGAGTAGTAAATTACAAGCTTAGGATTATATAATTTCAAATAGAGGATTCATTTTTTGGTTTCAGGTAGTAGTAAGTACATAACTAAATCAACATTAAATTTGTTGATTTTAAATTTGGTTAGCCCTAAGCATTTTTAGTAATTTCTGATACTAAATTAAACTACTGATATAGTTTATAAGTAGCTCAGTTTTGCGGTAAAAACTGACCGTAATTATCCGATCAACAGAAATAATTTACTCAGCTGGACTGCAAATCATCATTTTGCTACTGCGTGCATACACGTACTTTATATCACACACTTCATTTTTGTTTATTTACTCGCACTATGGCATGTTATAGATTGTAATTTACAAGTCACTTACTGACTAACATCAGGTATTCTAATCACTCTAATTCCATGAACAAGAAAATTCTCTGTCATAATTTACCAATCATATATCTTGACCAATAAAAACAGATGCATCTTGCTCTTAGATATTTTCTCTTAAAAAGGATAAGGTATATCTAAGAAGGCTTTTTAACTTTTGTGATGAAATATTAGAGAGATCTCAGAGTTTTGGATACATTCCTGTAACGAAAGAAATAATAATCTTCGAACAGTCGAGTGTAGGATCTAAGTTTCTCTCTGCTTATAGATTATAAACCTGATATTTTGATCATCTGGTATAACATCTGTACTTTTACTGTGATTCAGAAGAAGTTGACGTAGAATTTGGTATCAAGACTATTAAACAGGAAGCTTGTCAATAACTCATTAATGACAAATTTCTTGTTCTACTGATAAACAAAAGGAATTATAATATTTTAAGGCATGTTTCATAGAAATCAAATTGTTTGACATTGACTTAGTAATTGGTAGTTCAAACTAATCATTTAGTGAAGCTGACTTGGTAAGATTTATGCTATTATTCAAACATATTGCGTTTTTAAATTAAATGTTTATTTTAGTGACATCAATATGAACACATAACTTAAAATGAAGTCCTCTAAAGATTTTAAATATTGTATTGAAAATATCTAAGTCTGTAAACTAATCAACATCCTTAAAAAGGTTCTGATCACTTAGTATGAATTGATTTGGCTTTCAAATTATATGGAACCCATTTAAAAATAACACATGCTTCATATATAAATGTACTACTTACTTCAGGGCAATCACAATCTGGTGAAAGATATTCAATGAGCTGCCAGTGTGTTGGATTTTGATTTTTGTTTAAATTGTGCACAATAACTGATACAATAGAATCTGGAGAAATCTCTCTCACTTTAAGTTGAACACCATTAATGTTACAAATAAGTTGATCAAACTGTCGAAATGAAACAAAATAATTTAACTGAATTAATCATTGTTTTTACTAAATATTCGATCTTTGATGGGATCCCAAAGCAGTGGGCACTAATAACTTCTTTACAGTGACATTATCAGTGAATGACAATCGTAGAATTTCACAAAAAGACGGAATTTCAAAGTGCGAATTACTGGATACCAAGTCAGTAGTCTGGAAGAAATGCTGTAGAGTTTCCAACGAAAATAAAACCTCTTTGGAATATTCTCCCCTTTCTAACATTCTTCAGTTTATTATGCAAGATCAACATTATTAGTAAGTTATCAGTCGACTTGTTAGTTAACATCAAGACAAACTACACAACATCATGTAATAACCTTATTTAGATATCTACAAAATAGTATTGACGGAAATATATTGATTGGATTTAACTCATTAGAGTTGTGGTAGTCTGCTGCTTCTGGTGAGGGATCAGTGTTTACCAGACAACCTCCATATGAAATGCAGAATTATTTGCAATGTAACAAACATTTATTCATATGTTTTGGCTTAGTTTACAACATGTTCACTATTACTTATTTCCTGAAGCTAATATAGAAGAATGCATTTCATTCTAATCTCAACGGAATAATACACTTTATTAAATTAACTCTTCTAATAAAAGCAGATATTAAGGTTATTAAGTATCAAACAACAAAGATAATCGGAGAAACGTTTTATTAATAAATAATCTAGCACTTCTTTGAGTGCACCAAACATTAGTTCAGTTAAAGCAACACTAAAAAGGAAACTAGTCATTTGACTAAATGAATGAATCGATACTTAAGGAAGTTAAGAATTTATTGTATCAGTATGGAGATTTCTGGAAATCGTAGTATTTTTACAGTTGAATTCACGAGTCGATCTACGTTACACCACCATTGAAAACTTGGGAGCACTGGGTTTGAGTCTCACGTGCAGGATCATGCATGCGTACTGCTGAGTAGTCCTATACTAGGACGGAACAGTCATCCAGTGCTCCCATGTCTTTAATCGTGAATTCAGCTGTGGAAATTTCCTGTATTTTGATTTGCTACAGCTCTGGGATTTTTAATTAAATACGTTTTGTATAAAGTTAGAGGCTAATTTGTTTTAACATTGTGTTATTGGAATCTATTATATTTGTTTTGATAATAATAAAAGATAAACAAACTGAAGGGAAGTTTTATTTCAGTAGAATACAGAATGGTGATTTTTCAACGAGTAAATTTTTGCTTCAACTATTAATTTTATGAAATAATACTTTCCTGTTTTACTTAAGTTAGCGGGACATAGATTGGATTAAACATGCTCAATGCACGATTGCTTTGGCGTACGCTGATTGGCTAATTCGTAGCCAATCAGCGCTGGCCGACGCTAAGAATACTTTTGAATCTTCTGTAAAACCTATAAATATACTAACGTTTATCCTACTGTGCTTCTTACTTCTATCTAACCTTGTTATTTGGAATAAATTCTCTTTCCTGTTCGACCGTGTTCTGATTTAGGGACTTGTCGAGTGAATTGGTGTCCAAGAGTACTAAGCAATAGGAATAGCTGGGTTGTAATAAAAGAGAATTTCAACAACTTATAACAGCTTACCATAGTACTATGAATAAGTTTAATTGATTACACTTTAAATATTTTATAAAACCTTAAATACTTGAATATATTACTAACAAAGTGTAGAATTTAATTCAGTGAATGCATCAACAATATAAATAAACAAAATCAATACTACTTACCATATTTGTATGAATTGAGCAAAAATATTCAAAAATTTGAACAAATCCAATGATGTTTTCCCTGACAATATCTTCGAATTCCTACAGTGTATTTGTTTAAAACAAAACAAAACATTATAACTACTAATTCATATAGAGATATATTTACTGATTTCAAAATATTATTTTACTATTCAAATACATTAAATCATAATAATTCCATGTTAATTATTATTAAAAATTCACAAACACTTTCCATAGATCTATTCAATGACTGAAACATATTGTTATAGTGTAAGCATATGTCTGTCTGCATCCCATAGCATATCGAAAACCAAAACAAGAAGATCCCTTAGAATTTAACGCAACAACTACTAGAAAAACCAGAAATCAATCGCCGAAATTATTCACACTCCGATGACATAAATTTCAAACAATTTCGAAAACAAATGACATCTAAAAGTGACGTTCACCATTAGAATCTACTGAACGAATAGATTATCTGGAGCTCATTCCTACAGACTTAGAGAACAATAAAGAACAAATACGACATAATCGTGGACTAACAAAATGTTGACGTAATGATCGTAATCAGTGATGGGCAACAAAAGTAGTAGAAATGGAAAAAGCGGCAACAGTAGGCATCAACAGACACGTTTTCAAACTTAATAAACAAACAAGTACTAGAAATCCGGGGGTTAGGGAAATTATTTTTTAAAAAGATAAGAAAATGATTAATTCCAGTTGCAGCATTTCGTGACAAACGGCCAAACACTATTTAGAACAATATCTGTTCTCCGTCTACCTTCCACTTAGCTGCTGCTACTAAGCAACCTGAATAGGGTATCATCATAAGCCTCCCCATTCTGGAAAAGTTATATCAATTCTGAGGCGAGAAAAATCAACCGGCATTATATATATTTCTTTGACCTTAAGACAGCAGTCGATTCCTTGGAATATTAGCTTTTCTAGCAGTCTTTCTACCAAATAAATGCAAAAAAATTATGATGGTTCATCATTTGAGCATCATTCGTCAAGCTAGAGCTTTCAACGGACTGTCATCAGATATGATACAACACGTAGCGTTGGTCATGGCTTGGCCTCTCCTCTTATTTTTATTCAGCTTTGTCATAAATAATCTTTTGGATACGAGGTTTGCATCGTTCGGAATCATAGGGTGGATCTTTTGATGAAATTAAGGACTCGCATTTCGTCCTATTTGGGACCCGTCGACTGGATGAACCTAAACCTCAGAGTTGATATTCACTCTAGGACTCAGACCCAGTACCGTTCGCTTCAAATGCCATCGTGTTCCAGTGTGAACATCAACTCTGAGATGCAAGTAGTTCAGCTGATGAGTTTCAAATAGGACGAAAAGCGCGTCCTGGATTTCACTGCTAGCCACTATCCATCATGCTTATAATGCTTGTGAATCAAGGCAATATCGATGCGATGCCCACAGTATGCACATATGGCAATAAGAAACTGATCATTTGCAGTCCTAAACATCAATGGGAATATTCAAGTAAACAATATCAGATGAATTTTTAATTGTTATATTATCTGAATATTTCAATAGCAAACCATATGGAAAATGATTACATTTACAATATTTATTAATAATTTTGAAATCTCCCAAAACGTTACGTAAAAAACCACAAAATTCATTCGAATTGACATTCCATAAAAAATGAACTGAGGTATAGGAATCACTGATCTTTAACTAACCTGCATTAGTTGTGGTAATACTAAATTGTGATAATAAGCTTTCATGGCATTTGTCATATGTAGTTGAAGAACATAAGAATTATGAGCATTGAGCAAGTCTTTTATAGCTTTAGTTTGTAATATTTCACGGTGAATTCTATACATCTCTGCGTAATTACTTTGTAACTAGAATTACCCAAAATAAAATACAATTTATTTCATCTAACAAAAGTAATTGACGTAAGTTAATATTTATAGATTAACATTTCTTAAGTAGAGTTTTATGTACTTACCATTGATCGACATTGTTTATTTGAAGACTGATGATACTCTCAGGGCATGAGAAATATAGTCGGTGAAGATCGGTTTGATCTGATGACATTATGGTTGAAAGGGGACTATTAAGCCACCACTCCACTAAGAAGTAGGCTTTTACCAACATAATTTTGTAGACAGGTTTTTTTGACTAAACATTGATAAACTGCTTTACTAAAACTTAAGAATTTATAGCAGTTTTTAACCATGGTCTAATGCGGCTATAAATCTAGGAACTACAAATCCTAAATGACACTCAACCAGTTTTCAGAAGACCATAGTTACACGTCAGTTAGAATTTAAAAAGCTCTCTTTAGTTGGCATCTTCAAAAGTAATTAATGTTTATGCCCTCATTATCACAATGTTTCCTGCAGTTTACTTGCAAGTGATATTTCTTTGCAAACAGCGATTTCAGAACAACTAACTAACTACCAGAGAAAAAATATTAGCCGTTCACTTTCACTGAATTTTGTCTACTGTGTTGTGCATAAAAGAGACTGCGTTGAAAATCTATAAAACCGACTCATTATGTTACATTAATAAAATAGGTCACCATGTAACATACAATCAGCATTTATACCGACTTGTTCAGGCAAAAATAATGATAATTGTTAACTTTAAAGCGCTTTACAGAAACACACTTCGTCATTTAAAGTGTGAATTTAACTTAACATGATCTAATCATGTTGTATGAGGATTGTTACATGAAAGTTACATGACCTCCATCCTATATGACACAATATATCCAAACACTATCATCTTCGCCATTATATTCATATCTCTGATGTATAGTAAACTAAAAAAAATTTAATTTCATGATGTATAATTTCTTTCATATATTAATTATCATTCATATTGATATCAACGATAGAGTTTTTGATTCACATAGGATTTCTGTTGATTGTCGACCTATACTTATCAGTATTGTTTATAAGACCTATTTATTCATTTGTAAATAAACTTTAAAGCTCACCTCATTAACCTTTTCAGCACATTCCTTAAGAGTGTAATCTGTTGATGTACGAAAAGCTTTCAAACGAGAAATCTGTTGTCTTCTATGCTTCACAATACACTGTAATGGAGTCACAACTTTTGCTTTAGTCTCCTGAATTACATTTTCATGAAGCTGAAATAACAATATATCAGGTTAAGCAATTTGGTTGAAAACTTTATAAATAACTTATATCTCTCTAAAGAATCGATAATGCAGTCAATTTTAATCTTGGCCTCACCCTTTCTTTCTTACTTGGCATGCATTTTATCCAGTGAAAAATAAGTGGCTATATTGTTTTATGTTACCTAGTAAACAAATGAATAAATCAAATAATATATTATAATTGTATGTCCGGCTAAGATAATCTAACAAAAGACAATGGATTTATTAAATGCATCTCTCAAGTTGTAGGAATCCATGAGGTTCTAGTACGAATTTGTATTTGATAGGGTTTGTTCTGTATTGCCAATTAAACAGTTACTCGCCAGTGTTCTGTCTCACAATAATTGTTTGATGAATTGATTTAACTGTGAATTATACTATCCTTGAGACCCTTTCTAAGACATGTTGAAGTGAAAAAGGTTGGTTTCGGATAGTTTTCTTGAAGTTAGGAGTAAAACCAAGAATCAACAAATAGCAATATTTATTTGATCAAAAAATCTTTAACAAGTTTGAAATGTTGAAAATCAGAAATGTTGTAATAACCATTATTTCTAATTAACTCTAAACATGTAATAAGAAGTAAACTAGTAATATGATTACTTATTATTTTCAGAGTAATCACAACACAATCCATTTACAGTTAGCGGAAGAATTATTAAGAACCTTTACAAAACATTATAGTTATATTATATCCCCGTGTTCATTGGTGTTCGGATTTGACATGGATTTTATGAAGCTATGAAAAAGAAACTGTAACCAGTGAAATAAATTAAGTCATGAGCGATTCCACAACTCATTTAGGACATTGGATGACAGGTAAACAATATTGTGACTGAACTGAACTTAATAATGTCAGCCACTATATTCATCTCTAATGGTTTAAAGGTACTGTCTCTCATGCTTAAGATCTAAAAATCCTCTAAATAATACCTCTATTGACTTACATAATCGAAACCCCATCATCCTCAGAAACGCTCAAATATTCAAGATAAATGATGATTATATTGTATTTTGATTTAACACACCTATTCTGATTGAATAGTAAACAGAACGTCGATACACAAAGTGTTCACATCTTCATACTTTTACTGTTCAATTCTGTCCACTTAATAATTCATTGACTAATAATTCCCTTAGAAATGTTATTTTTTATGAAACTACAACTTACCTCAGCTTCATTTTGAAACTTCTCAATAAATACATGCCAAAAATTATAAAGAATTTCATTGTTACTATTAGTATCACTGTCTCTCCTGTTGATTTAAAAAAACGGAAAATAAATAAACCTTTGAGTACGGTAAATTTGACGTCCATATCAGTTAGCGTGTAGGCAGTTAATTTCAATACTACAGAGCATCAATGCAAATAATTTTTTGTTATATAAAAAGTAATGAACTTGATGGGATTGTCATCTACTCATCTAACTCCGCCTGTAGCTCTTCCAAAGTTACTGTCGGTCCCAAGCACTGGTAAAGGAGGAGGGTTGGACATGGGGTTAGCGACCCCATCCCGTAGAAAACTAACTCGCTAAAAAACGCTAACCATTTACATTTTTTAACAGTGAGAGCATGTGTTTATAACATTATTTTGATATGAAATAATAGAAAGTTTACTCCTAACTATCAGAAAGCATGTGTAACAGTAAATGTAACAAAATATTTGAACAATTTATCATCACAAGGTATATTACGTTAAAATTGCCCAATTTTTTCCATTTTCCTTTGGTAAAACTAAAAAACCACTTACAAGTCAATCAGCACATCATTTTATTATATAAAGAATAACGGAGCTACCAGCTCCCACAACACAAACATATGAGATGTAAGTTTCCAAACTTGAACTAAACAGTTGTGAATCAAATGCTTTGATCACAGAGTAGTCGTTTTATTGTAAATAGGTTCTTTATCTTGTTCAAAGTTATTTATTAAATGTAATGATAAAGTTTATTTGAAGAATACTTTTGTAAACCTTTCTATGCAATAAATGATCATTCAATAAGATGAAACACCATAAATCGTCTGATAAATCACTATTTTTAAGTAAACTTTTATATTTTCAAACTACTTCAGAAATCCACATTACAATTAACTGAGTAATTACAATTGTTTTAATTATCTTACTTCAACAAGAATGAATGTCGACGGATAAAAAATCGTTTTAAACTGTTTCCTGTGAATATTTTTTTAAAATTAATTGTTCGAATCCTTTTCTACAATTTCAGAAAGACTATGATAAGTGTCATGATTTACACTCTTTTAGAAATAAAATCTTATTTTGAGAAGCTCTGCTGTCCTCCAAATATATAAAATTGTCTTTTGGTGGAGTTTTGTTCTCTGAGCTGGATGGTTTGGTCGTGGAGCTTTCATCGTTTTTCTGAACGACACCATCAGCACAAAATTCAGATAGCTCCACGACCAAACTATCCAGCTCAGAGAACAAAACTCCACCAAAATCATCCACTTGAGCTACAAATCTTCTCCACCATCATAAAATTGTCTGTTGATATTCTACAGGGTAAATGTATTTAATCTCTTAACTAAGAAATTGATAACAGTTAAGCCAGTTTATTCATGTGAGCTTCAAAGCAAAAAAGTTTGAATGAGTAACAGAATATAAAGAATCAGATCTGCTGAAATATCCCTGTCTAGTTCATATGTCTACATGATAATCTGCCCAATAACATAATCAAGAGATATCTCTCTACTGAAGAAATATGATGTATTTGTACAGTAAATATTTCGGATAATCTGTTCACATGTTTACTTTTCTATGCATATCATAAGAAAACGGTAATTAACCAGAAGCTGTTGGCCAGATCAATTAAGGAAAGAAACAAATAACACTAACCCTAAAAATAAAAACGCATCATGGAGTACCAGGCTAGATTCATGATGTGAATGATTTTTTTAACATATGTCAAAGGGTAAAATTCCTTGATTTCTAGAAATTAATTGAAACTCACCATCATAATCCTTAGTCGAGTTTTAACACTACATAGGCTGTAACAACCTGTGAATCTTTCTGTACTCACTTTCTTTATATCATATATTTAATTATCACCCCTTCATTTCACACAAAACGTCTTAGAATATAAGTGTGTAAATCATATTATTCAAAATACGCATCAAACTATTCAGGTTATCTCAGTTTTTTAATACGTGATCTATGTTTACAAACGTCACTAATTGGTTTGATGTTTTCAATATAACATACTAAATTATAAGAATAATGTCAATAACAATCTGAATAAGCAAACACAAAGAAATACAAACCCAAAAGTATCCTATAATTGAATAGTTAATTGATATTATATTATCTCATTTGTTACCATTTAGTTACCAAAATATTAAAATATCCACAGCATTCAATTTATATGAATTGACACTGAATGATAAATACTAAAACGCTTTATACTCTCTATTGTAAAGCTAATTTTTGGTTTAGAAATTCAGCCAAAATAAGGATATATAATCTAACAGATCATTATGCTCGAATTTATGTATATTAGACAAAGTAAACAAGTTGAATAGTTTAATTGAACAAACTGCTCATATTCTTTAGCATAAATCCTGCGAACTTATATTTTTTATGCAATAACAAAATCTCGAAATGAATTGTTGGACGTTTCTTGAAGTTAATGCTATTTTTAAGTGCAAATAAGCTTGTTCAATTGACAAAGTAAGATTCTTTTTCTCTACAGTTTATTGGTCACTCAAAACACCTCATCTACTTGAACATAGTTTAAATAAAAACAATTCGACCTCACATATAACAATCTACAACAAATTAACGTAAACCACCTTTATACAGACACATACAAATTAATATCGAAAATGGCTCCATTTTAAAAGATCTAAGGTTCATTATTCTAATACTCTTCAGAATAATTTTTATTCATGACGAACATTTGTCCTGTCAAAGTTTCTATTTTGCTTCAAACACTCATGTATATCCTTGGGAGTAAATGTCTTCAGAAGATTTATTGTCTCCCAAATTTTCGTAAATCCAATTCTTCACTAATTATTCAAGGGATCCTTGTTGAGAAAGAACTTGAAACTGAACATATTATATACTTTATCACAAGAGATTGACTGTCAACCTGGCCTTAAATCGCTCATAATATTTTCATGGCTCTCAGTGAAATGGGTATTTCACTTAAAGAAGCTGTTGACTTTGATATGTCATTTCTATAAATAAATCTAAGCTTTTCGTGAGCATCCTCATCATTTTATTCAATTTATTTATTGAACGTAGTAAAGTCTTAAAAAATTGCAGTTTATCCATTATATTAAACATTTTGAACATATCAAGAAGTTATTTCAAACATTTTGTCATCATCTCAGTCAAAATCATCAGCGATTTTTTTTTGGATTCTTTTTTCTATTTTTCAAAATTCATAAAATATTACCTAAAGAATTAAGGGAAAATTGTTTTACTGTGACGAATATTTTTCTTTTAGATACAAACAATAAAACTTACGTTTAACCAAGTAACTTACTTTATACTTTCAACTTTTTCTACACTTTCTTTAAATGATTGACATACATTTTTTATGGCTATTGAGTAAGATTGTCTAGCATCAGTCATTTGTTCAATAACTGAAACAACTAGATAATTTATAGTAAATAAATAAGTAAAACAATAAGCATTCATTAACATTAATGGTAACTAAAGAAATATTTGAATTGATTTTTTCATTGAGTATATTAAAATCTAAATTATTTATTAAATAACAAATAATTGATTTCAATGGTTGAGATCATGAGTCAGTTGAAGCTAGACTACCATGGAAAACCTGAAAGCACTGGACGGCCGTTTCATTCCATTGTGGGACTCCTCAACAGTGCACATCCACGATTTTGATTATTGAAATTTATTGAACAAGACGCACTAAAATCAATATTTTTTTAGAATATATGGTCGATATACAATAGTTATTGTTGTCTTTATTATTTAATATTTAGTGTTAATTGATCAGTTAGTGTGACTGAGTATCCAAATTCATTTCAATTTTGGAAAAGTTTCATAAAGTTGGCTAATACGATTATTTCCCCGTGAAAGAATCTACAAAGATGTGATATCGAACAATGAAGTTTAGGAGAAATTTTTTTGAAATAGCTATTAGAAGTGAAATGCATTCGAAATACGAAATAGACTAAAGTCAATGAAATGTTTTGGCATTTGCATATTCAATTCGCAATATATTTGTTTCTAATTTACTTATAATGTTAGGCATATATGAAGAAAATTTTTACACCCTACAGATTTCAAATATTTTAAATTATTAAAGATAAAAAACTTTTCGATCACAATTTTGACTCATGTTTTAATTATATCTATAGTAGCACAACAAACCTTATTTCAGTACCAATATGATATGTCAAGTAAGTGAGAAAAAAATACCTAAAATACATTAATAATGTAATATTTGTGTCACAGTTTCCATGCTTCTCTCAATCGCTAAAAATACAGACGATCTTCCATTCATAATATCGCTGATAGGGCAAAATGCCTACTTTTAGCTACATTGTATTATAAAGTATTATTTTTAACTAGTAAATATCACTATTCTCAACAAATTGAATAAAACACTAATGTACTTTATTAATAAACGATTTACTTATAAGTAATAAGTGACATGAATTTTTGTATCAAACGAAACCAAACTGATTAAATTTATAAAACGTATACAAAATATATACAAAAGAAGTACGTCTTATCGTTATCGTTACCTTGGCCTTAATTGATATTATCATTATTATTTTATCGTTATTATTATTATTACTGCATTCCCCTTTATTTATGTCTTATATTCTCATTATTTTATTCATATATTCTCATATACTGTACAGTATACAGTAAACTGAAAAATCATGTACCTATTTATATTCGATAATTTTGATTTTTGATTATATTTTCTTGAAGAAGCTTGGGCCAGATTGCCAGGCGAAACGTCGGATTTACTTCTAATTCAAATTTTACAAGTACATTCTTCCTCTTTAATGTCTCATATCGACTCGGCGCCCAAATACTGTGAAACTATTCGATCAAATTTAAACGAAAGTTCTTGTTTACTCATCATATCACTATTTATTTTTACACCTCGATGATCTTTAATGAACTTTAATTAGTGTAACAAAAGCGCTCGCACGCCAGACTGATTGGTCCTGGGTTCGAATCCCTCGAGCAGGATCGTGGATAAGCACTGCTGAGAAGTCCTACAATAGAACGAAACGGTCGTCCAGTGCTTCCAGGTTTTCCATGGCGTTCTAGCTTAAATTGACTCATGATTTCAACTATGCAACAACGTTTTGATTATTTTAATCATCTTATTATATTCACTTAATCTAATGTTATTATTCGTATTACGTAACCTAGCATTATAATTTTCTTACTACGCCACTTTGGCTATTCGTGTTCACACTTCCTTACGGAATTAGTACCTTAACAAAAAAATTTCAGATATATATGATTGTACAGCTTGATAATAAATTCGTTGAAAAGAGAACCCTTCGTTGAAATTCATTTTTTTTTATAAACTATACACTGATAAGCAAAACAAGAATATATAAACCTTTAAAAACCGCTTTAACAATTTTCAGTTTATCAATTCAAATGTAAATTCCTGTAACAATAGAAAATGATGAAATAATTCATTTGTAATAATTAATTATTGATGAATATTAATTTACATGGAGACAAGATCAAAGACTATTTAATTAATTGTTAAAATCTACTCAGTTTTAGTTTGTTTGTTTGTTTGTTTGTTTTTAGTTAAACACTAAATAGAACAATATTAATTATGTTCTAAAATTAAAGAGAACATTAAGATTATGGATAATTCAATCATTTCTTTGATTTATATCTAATTAGTGTATTATTTTTTCTGATCATCACGTTTATAAACATTTACTAAATCAGAAGGGGTTTTGTGGATATTTTAGAAATTCCAATAGTTGAAATCATGAGTCAATTGATGCTAGACCATCATGGGAAACCCGAAAAAACTGGTCAGTCGCTTCGTCCTAGTAAGAGACTCGTCAGCATTGCGCATCCACGATCCCAGTTCACTGAACACAATCGTATATGGTGGTGTGATTTCGTGGATTAGTTGAAGTTAGAAATTAATACTGTTAGATGCCGGACAGCTCAGTGGTCTAACGGTTAAGCGCTCGCGCGCGAGACTGATAAGTCCTGGGTTCGAATCTCGCGAGGTGTGGGATCGTGGATTCGTAGTGTCGAGGAGTCTCATACTAGGACGAAATGGCCGTCCAGTGATTCCAGATTTTGTATGGTGGTCTAGCTTCAATTGGCTCATGATTTCAACTGTTGAAATTTACTATATCGTTAATCATTAGTTGCGAATTCTTTTAGTTTTGTTGAATTTCAAAGAATGTTTGTTACAGTTAAATCTATTGAAAAACATTACGAAGTGTCAATTCATCTTAATATGATCGTAATAAACTTACATTTTTCAATAAGATCCAACTGATGGGTTATAGAATCAATCATTAAAGGATAATAATTTTTATGTGATAAAAATTGAAATCCAACAGTATTCATAGGCTGTCTATTATCTTGAGACTTGTATGTGGTAACTGCCGTTGACTGAGAACGTTTATGCTGTTAAACAAAGTCAATAAATATACACGTTGTTAAAATGCTTCAATACAATATATATAACATATTAACTTAATTTTTAAACAAGATTCATGAGACATTGTTCATATAGTTACCTGAATTCATTCAACAATAATACCATTGATTTCTAATAACTTCAAATAACCTTCATCTCGTGAATTTACCATAAGGTAAACTTGTTACATTTATCGATTAGTACATGACAATAATTCACACGAAAAAAATTCTATCATCTTGCTTGTTTATCATGCTTTATGACTGTAGATCTAGTTTTTTTTTCAAATAATCCATTAGTCTCTATAGCTTTCTAGGAACGAAATTCACTTTAAACAGAAAATGTAGTCTTTATATAAACTCTTGGTAATTATGAAGAGAACAGTTTATTTTTCTGGCATTGTATATTAGATAATAAGCTTAAGATTACTTTGATTAACAGTTCAACTAGTCAGTATATGGTATTTCTATACCTTAAGTATTTGAATATATCTTTATTATTTTGTTTAGATTTTTTATCACAAACAAGCTATAAAAGTGGATGGCTACAGAGAACTAAATAAATTATATGTGTTGCATATTACATTCAGTTAAAAAGCGAAATAAATTAGGAGATGATCTAATTCAAATTTTACTTTCCTGATTCCTTGTTTATTTACGACAGATGGTATCATGACCGAGGGTGAATGGCGTGATTTAGAGGTATATGCATGATCTCTAGAAGTAGTGAAAATACGGTTATTGAGTGATAACTACTCAAAAAGGTCGAATTATAAATATACTTGTTCTCAGTGAGAGAATATCGTTGGTTGATTCATACGATACAATATCATTTTATGTACATTCTACCTGAATTTGTTTATAAAATCATATACCTTCACAACTATATAATTCCAACTAAGAAGCATATTATTTAAGCATTTTTCCATACAAAAAAGCCTTGTTGGGCTGTAGTTATTTATACTAATATTTTCAACTAAACCGTTGAAACAACTAAGCTGTAACTTATTTGAGTAATAAATAAAGTTAAAATAATGACTTGATAGTTGATTATATCTTAATCTTCATATCAAAAGATATATGGAGAGATTAAAAAACAAATTGGTACAACTAATCATCTAATTCAAGAATGACAAATATTCTCATCGAACCTACCAGTATATCAAAAAATGAAATAATACTTTTTCGTCCAACATTAATACTAAGTCGTTGTAAATTCATTGGTAAATGTGATGTTTAGTATCGTAAACTAATGAATTGAATCTATTAGTTCTTGAGCAATCGGTGATTTAATGTAGACAAACCATGGGATTTTCTTAAACGTTCATCTATTTCAAAAATGGCATTTGATATTTATTAAATTTGTAGATCAGCTCCAAAACATTTTCCTGGCAATGCATTGATGAATTCATTGAAACCAGTCACTAAAAATGTAAGATTTTGTTTATTAATCGTGAAAAAGGTAAGTGAAATGGTGTAATTTCACTTAAGTAAAAGGCATGAGATGTTATAATGTTTTGCAGTGATACACACAAGTCGTTCTTAAATGGTCTGATGACTTGTAATCAAATAGTTTTTGTAGCTAATAGAATTGTTGGTGTCTTAAAATATATAATTTTTTATGCTATGCCATTACATATCCAAAGTGTCCAATGGAAAATATAAACAAATAGATACCTTAAAATTGGTCAAATTGTTATTTTAACAAATTAAAGGTGCTTCAATTTTCAAGAATGATATAATATTAGGCATAATGATCAAATGTATTTGTCTACCTTTTAACTGTATTTATTAAAACAATGAAATTTATTTAGAAAATAGCTAAAACGAATTATGAAAACATGAATAAGACTCTGACGTCCAAATAATTCACATACATTAAATATAAAAACACTAAATGGATGTTTCATCTTCGTTAGGCATCTGTCAGTAGCGTACTCAATCAAAATTTTGTTTCATCCACAAGTAAAACTTCATCAAAAATCTATGATTTCAATGTGTTCATGGGGAAAAACAGCATAGATTATTCTCAAATGGTGAATTAACAGCTGTTCAGTGAAAAATAGTGTTCAACAATTCTACAGGAAATTATTTAGAGAAACTTGTCGTCGAACTATAAAATCTATCAATAAACTCAATGTAGTGGATGTGTAAAATAATGATTATTCCAGTCAATTTTATCACCAAATTTTTTTAAATTTTTGTGGTACAAATACATGGATAAAATGAAGTTGTAACGTTAGATAATTACTTGATAATGAGGGTAGTTCTCCAGCCGTAATCCTATCAAAAGTGTTAATCAATGTTAATCAGTTTCCCAAAATCAGTTATTAAGCTTAAAACTTTTATGTTCCTTCTTAAACAAACTCGATAACAGCTTTAAGAGATATATACAAATATAATATGTCTGACACGTTTAACTCCAAAGTAATTCTACACTAATTTAAAAATTAATTAAAAACAAGATAAGATTAAACAACTTTTCCTTGTTTTCGTTGCAAAATCATTAAGTGCTAGGTTGAATGATTAAATCATGTGTATTTTCAGCCACAGAATGGTTCAGAAGACATTTCAGTCGGTCCAACCCACCCTCTAATACACGACAAAGGTATCCACATCAATTATATTAAATATACTACTGTATCTGATATTAAATTTGCTGGCTGATAGATCATTGACAAACGCTAACGTAGGTAATAAAATAGCTTTTTAACATACAAGGAATCCCTTTTTATATCAACCTTTCCAAAGTATTTCTATGTTTCGTAAATCCATAAATCTAAAGATCCAACTTGAAGAGATTCATTTATCTACAACTGTCGATTTTATTCAATAGTTTTTAACTTTTAAAAAAGAGCTATTTTATCGTACGAAGTTCATGATCATTATTAAATGTCCATTATAATTCACTATCTTCCTTAATTTTATCAAAAATCTATTCTGTCTTACTATTCAATTATACTCACTTCACTTTAAAGACAAGTTTCATTCCAATTAATCACAATGAACTAGTAAACGTAGAGTTTTTTGTAAAAAACATAAAACTATTTCGAACAAACACATATCCTCTACTTTACTACTTTCTTCATTTGATTTTATAGGTGTCCTAACCAAACTTTATCAACTATCTCAATAAAGAGGAAAAATGTATTTGTAAAATCTTAGCGAATGAATTTGAAGTAAATCTAACGTTTCAACTATCAATGTGGTCCAAACTTTTTCAAGGAAATATAATCACACATCAAAATTATCGAATATAAATAGATATATGGTCCTTCGGTTCACTGTATACTGAATAGGTCATCCAATCAACATTAACAATGTTTAAAGTAGGTATTCGCATTATTGTATAAGAGACATGTGGTGTGAAACGATAAATGTTAAGATAACAGATTGTGTGTATACGTAATTGAGTAGGAGAAATCTCATTCACTATATATTGTCTTTGGTTGGTAAATTTTAAGAAAACATATAATTTTTTATAAATGATATGAATCAAAAACTTCACAGCATGCATAAAATGATGATAAATAAACAGTATAAAGGAATGAATTCAAAGAGGAAGAATGTATTTATAACTGAATGTTCGTGTTATTTTAATGTCTTAGTCAATTGTTTAACATATTCAGATAAGATAACTGATTTGAACCGTTGAATGTAATATCTTTTAATCAGTTAATACGATATAGATAGAATGGAACAAGGAGTTCAGATTCACTTAATAATTATTAGTTGCCATGGAACAGCTAGTTCTTTTCCATCTTTTCTATTAATACTGTTTGGATTAGCCCATATATGTAGGGCTTCGGCTGTTAGTTATCCTATGTAAGAATTAAAACCTTTCTGACGAATTCTTGTGCCGTTGAAATCAATTACATGACCCGATTCTATTAAGTGTAATGCTATCGTTGATTTGTTCTCGAGTTTTCTTACATTATCTGAGGATTCAGGAATGTGCTTTAAGTTTGGTTTGTGTTAATTCACCCTCACATTTAGTTGCTTTGATGTTTCACTTACATACGATGCATTACAGTCACTACATTTGATTTCATAAGCATAATTCTGTTGTTCCTCATTGTGTAATGGATCTTTGATTCTTACTAGTTTTGATCTTAGATTATTGTTTATTCAAATGAATACTCTTAACTTTTACCTCTTATATTATCTCCTACATTATTATTTTACTCATATTTATCACAATACTTAAAAATAATAAAATAATAGTTCAGATCATGAGTCAGTTGAAGCTAAACCACCGTGGAAAACCTGCAAGCACTGGAACACCGTTTCGTCCTATTATGAGACTCCTCAACAGTGCGCATCCACGACCTCACTCCCTGCGAGATTCGAACGCAGGACCTACTGGTTTCGCGTGCGAGCACTTAACCACTAAACCACCGAGCCGGCATCCAACGGTGTTAATGTCTTACTTCAACTAATCCACGAAATTGAGTGACACATCCACCATTGTCATCAGTGAGTTACTATCTCACAACAGACCTGGTTGAACTTCACTTATCACTGCTTCCCACTAGAACTCCGGGATATATCCCGGAGGTAGTAACTCACTGATGGCAATATGGATGTGTCGTTCAACTTCGTGGATTAGTTGAAGTAAGACATTAACACCGTTGGATGGCGGCTCAGTGGTCTAGTTGGTCAAGTGCCTGGCGCGAGACTGATAGGTCCTGGGTTCGAATCTCGCGAGGCGGGATCGTGGATGCGCACTGTTGAGGAGTCTCACAATAGGACGAAACGGCGTTCCAGTGCTTTCAGGTTTTCCATGGTGGTCTAGCTTCAATTGACTCATGATCTCAACTGTTGTAATTACTACAACCTCCACAAAACCACTTCTGAGAATAAAATAAAAAAATTAAACTATAACTTACTCCAAAATGTTTAGTAGAATAATTAGAAAATAAAATATTATACATCCCTTCATAGATTATGTTGTTAACCATTGGAGAGAAAAGAAAAAAGGGAAATGTCAACTTGTTTTATTCTTTTCCATTTTGTTTGAATAATTTTTTTTTTCAAAAAAAGCATGAAATATTGAATTTGTTTTATACTATTTGTTTATTTGTATTTAGTAATCAATGTAATATTTGTTACAATTATTTATTTAAAAAGGTAAGTAAATAGTAACATATAATAATAATCATACATTCTTCCATTATATACTTTTCTTCTTCTTATTGTTCAGTCAAGGTGTTTAACAACAATTGTTTAAAATAATAAGTCTACTGATAAATTTAATTTTAAAAACAAAAAAAAAACACAAATGAGGAATAAGTCGTAAAGTACAATGAAGAATAACATTTATCTTAATATATATTTAAGGTGAAAAATATCGTTAATTTTGTAATGCTTTTTTCTGAGTTACTAAGGAAGAAGAATGCTCCATAAAGAAAACTAAAATGAAAGTGTTATGATAATAATAATACCTTAAAAAATTGTACAATATCGAAGGTTAATTACTTACGCCTTTTACTCCCAATGGAGCATAGGCCGCCGACCATCATTCTCCAACCCACTTTTTCCTGAGCCTTCTTTTCTAGTTCTATCCAATTTTTATTGATTCCTCTTATATCTGTCTCCATTTATCGGCGTAATGTGTTCTTTGGTCTTCCTTTCCTTCTTTGGCATTCAGGATTCCATGCAAGGGCTTGCTTTGTGATGCAGTTGAGTGCTTTCCCCAATGTGTATCCTATCCACTTCCAGTGCTTCTTACAGATTTATTCCGCCGCTGAGATCTGCTTTGTTCTCTCTCACAGTAGGTTGTTACTGATAGTGTCTGGCCAACGAATCCGAAGTATTTTGCGTAGGAAACCGTTAGTAAACAATCGTATCTTCTGGATGATGACTTTTGTAGTTCTCCAAGTTTCCACCCCAATATTGAAAGTTAACGAGAATTAAAATTCATAGAACATCAAAGACTACTGGATTGACAAAGTAGTATTAAGCCCTTCATTGGATTTAGCATTTTTTACATTTAAAATCGTAAAGGTTGTTGAAACTCATGATGAAACACAACAGTTGAACAATCTGTAAATAATTTGTATTCATCCTTGGCTGATGTATGAATAAAAATTTCCATAGATTGAATTCACATGACGATTTGTACAATCAAGCTTTTTAACGTTTTATAGAATTTGTAAAATGAGCATATTTACGGTATGTTTTCGGTGTTGAAATGACCGAATAATCTATGAATATTGTCA